GATAAGGTACGCAAAGAAATTCCAAGTGTGTCTCCTCTCTAGAAAAGGAAAAGACTTGGAGCTCCTAAGTGCTCTAAGTATACTGCCAAGCCAAAATGGGGTATGGGCCTTCCATTTGAATACAAGGTGAACCTGAAGGATTTGAAGCCTTTTCTGAGCTCCAAACTAATCTTACTTGGGGGATCATGATGTAGATATGATTTTCAGTGTTTCTTGTACTCATCTACCTCAAAAGTGGTTTTTGAGGTGGGGGAAACATCTTTTTTTGCATTCCTGAGTGCCAAAAGATTCCCCATGTATAAAATATATATAGGATAATCTTTTGATGTTCTTCTAGGGACATTGTATGATGTTGTTATGAAATTTGGATGTTCCTCTGGGGACATTATGATGTTCCCCCACTTCAAAATCCACTTTGAGGTATATGAGGAACCAAAAAAGTTTTAAATCACCTCTAGGTAATGATCCTCCAAACAATATTTGATTTGGAGATCCAAATCCCTTAGATATACAATACATACAGAATGGACAGCCCAAATTTGATTTTGGTTGGAATAAATTTGGAGCATTCTCAGAGCTCCAAATCATTTTTTCTTTTTTTGAGAGGAGCGTTTTATGAGTGGCTTCTCCAAAATAAAGTTTGATTTGGAGCTAAAGAATCAAAATTCCCAAAAATTTTGATTTCCCTCTACGAACATTAACAGCGATCCAAAATGGTCCCAAATCAGTCTCCTCTCAACAAAAAATTCCTTGAAAAAAGAAAAAAGGATCATTAAAGTTGCCACAAATCCATTGCCACTGTCACAAGCAACTCTGAGCCATGCATTATAATCGACTATGGATCCAGGGATTTGGAGCTCCAAATCAAATCTTACATGGAGGAGCCACTCCAAAAATGATTTTCTTACAAAAATAATTTTTTGGCGCTCCAATAATGCTCCATTTTAGGCGGACAACAGATATTAGGAAATTGGAGCTTTCTGTGGTGCTCCAAACCAAATCTTATGTGGAGGATCATGATATGGAACTATTTTGGTTTCCGTTGCACACCTTAAAAGTGGTTTTTGACGGAGGAGAGCATAAGTGATCTTATAGGAACATCAGAAGTTTGAATGTGCGCACATGCAGAGACACATTCACACACACACACACACACAGCGACATATATATGGTCAGTAAAAGTTTATTTTGTATGCAGGTTCTTATGCAGGGTGTTAAGCACAGGCGTAAACTGCTCGAAAAGTTCAATGAGCTTCGCAGTCTTAAGGTGATACGCCGTATTGCAAAGCAGTGCCCGTCATGCAACATGGCAATATCAAAAATCGATGGATGCAATAAGATGGTGTGTCGAAATTGTACGAAAGTTTTCTGTTACAGATGTAACAAGGCAATTACTGGATATGACCACTTCAGGTGAATCCTTTTATGACAGTAAAAATAATCTGTTGTAATGATTCGGGCCTAGGCTTGATTGGTCAAGGTCTTGATGAGCAACACTATCTCCCAAGTTCATTCATTCATTGAACTGCCAAATGAAAAGAAAACAATGTGTTGTAATAACTATAATCTAATGGACTATGAAAGAGCATAGTTTATTTGGGTCATCATGGTCCAATAAAATGGACAGTGATGTTGAGGGTTTTGGATCCAGCATAACAGTACATGACCTACATGATGGGCTCCATTGCCTCTCCATCACATCATTTCTTGGATGACCCCTTTGGACTATGGAAAACCATCCATTCGTTTATAGTACTACTAATAAAAAAATTGGTATTTTATACTCCAATATTAACATGCACAATGGCCCACAATGTAGAAAAGGATCATGTGCTCTTTACCAATAGCAAGAAACCCGAGACATGGAGAACGGGGATAACACGCACCATGTGATTGGTCAGATATGGGCCATGAACTCCCCTCAATGTAGATGTCCGTGCCCTACTTCTTGTCAAGTGAATGCAAAGGTGAGTTGAAATCAGCAGAATCGAAGTTTACTTAGTTTAGAAATTTACATCTTTTCTTCCTAAATCTAGAACACAATGTCAGATGTTTGATCGATATTGACGATCTCTCTCTTTTGCCAATTACTAATCAAAGAAAAAGAAAATAAAATCTTTCTTTTCTTTTGTGAAAGCTGAGGAAGTGAAAATTTATCTATCAATTGGTTGAATCATATAGGCTATTTAAAGACTAAAAAGAATATGAAAAGTTCTGTCTTGTTTTTCAAACACTGTGGATGAGATATGCACATACAACTGTCTTTGAATTATTCCATAAATGGTTCTGGTCTGAACCAGTAAAACTTACTTTACATGTATTCTAGCATTTGAAGTGAGCATTTGGATTGTTCATGTGTTCTTGTATCCTAATCACTAGCATGGGCATGTACTTCATCATCAAATAACCTATCTGGAATGGATTTTCTAATTTGCTATACCACAGCTTGGAAATAACAACCACATCCTATGTTGGTCATGCCCAGGCATTTTACCAAACTACATCTGAACCCTTTGTCCAAAGCATTTGTAGGTCTCTGAATAATAAGGACCGTTCAATGTCTAAGTGATACATTTTCTCTTTTACCAATTAAGAAATAATATAGTTCTTTTGTGATTATACTGTTTCTTTGATCTTATTCCATATCAAGTGAGTTTCTTGCCTAGTGTTTATTAAAAGTGCTCAAAAGTAAGCAATGGATTGATTGGTTTTGTGCGGTCCTTCTGAGCTTTGGGCTTTCGAATCTGCAGAAGTTTTACATGACATGTGTACCGGCCAATGCTCTCTCTCTCTCTCTC